ATCTTGCAGGACCATTAAATCTAAAAAAAAACAACAAACAAAGTTTTTGGTCCAAATGACCCTACTGATAGTAGTAACAAATCGAGATATACAAAATTTGTTTACCATGTACCGTATCTCACAGCCAAACTACTTAAAAACAAAAATATGTCAAATACTTTTTTCGTCAAATAATTTTTTTTCACAATAACAAAACAAAACATTTTAAAGGAAACATCACCAATTTTGGAAAAAAACTATATTCGATATTTTCGAAAACTTAACAACACATTAATAAAAAAAACAAAGGTGTCTTAGAATGCATTTATGCAGATACTCAAGTATCTAACTTACCATTAAGCTTAAATTTAACAGCTCTTTGTAATATTCACTTCCTAAACAAAAAAGGTACCTTATCACAAAAAACCAGCGACAATTTCCATGAACTTTTTTTTCCAATTGCACCCATTTGGATAAAAAAACTTTGCCAGGATTGTCTCAAATGTCAACTAATCAGCTTTTTCCACAAAAAAGACAAAAATTAGAAAGTTAGGACTTTAAAAGACCTAGCTTGTATCCTAATTACCGAGAATCATTTGACACAAAATGCTCACTATCAAACTCTTCCGTGGAAAATTTATAATCAAGGTAAAAGTAAAGTCATTTTTATGTAGCCTTGGACTCAGTTCTGCTTTCCAATGCTTTTTATGCAAATATTTTTTTATGGGCACTAAATGAGTACCAAACTTCGGAACCCGAGAAAATCTTGAAAAAATGGCACTGATTTTAATAATAATGAAAGCATTAATTATGCCATCTATATGATATGAAACAAAAGCCACGAAATTCACATGCCCCATGAACTAATGAATTAGTCGGAGGCAAGAACCGCTCACTGCATTTTAGGATGTATAATAAACGGAACTGAACTAAAAAGTACACTGAATAGTCAAGAGACGTAAGACTAGTTCCACTAGCACATCTGAAAAAACCATAACCTTTGGCTTATCACCTTACAAAAATTTTAAAAAAATCAAGCAAATCAAGAAAGTTTACAGCGGATTAATTAAGAAAAACTCAAAGGGACAATGTAAACAATGACAAGAATCAGGATGCTACAAAATACCATTTCATGCCAGCAATGACGACCATTTTCATCAACAAACAAAATTTAAAATTAACTTCCGGAACTCAAACAAAATGAGGTTTAAACAGAGATGAAAAACATAACGAAAAATAAAAGAAGGTAACAGAGGCGTTATTACAAACACAGAACATCCAATCACAAAACATTTCACGTTTTATGACATATTGTCTAAAACATGGAACACAAGTTTCACGATACACAAAGGCGCAAGGAAATTTTTTTAAAACACTATAAGGGACGCTACCAAATCGTTGACAAACTAACAGACGTCACATGTAAACTAATTGATTCTCTTTTAAAAAACACACAACCTAAAACCAACCTCTTACCATACAATTCAAAAGAAAACGATTTTAGTGAACTTACGCAATTATTTCCATTAACTGGATTCCATGTTGTTGAATCACCACCAGATATCAACAGTCAAATCCATTCAAAAACTGAAAGGCAATAGAACAAACAACAAAGATATTAAAACAAAAAACGAGAAAAAAAACAACCCAATATCAACATTGGGAAGGTGTGTGAAATACTGAAATACAAGAGTCTTTAACACCAGTCAACTGACGCCGTGCACAAAGTGAGGAAAATCAAGCGGATGGTGCAACTCGGCTATTTGATGCAAGGACGGTAAAAAAACTGCTCAATCTGGTAGCATTAAACGAGCTGGCTCTCTGAACGGCGGATTCCATATCAACCAAAGCTAACAAAAAGTGTTGCTGGAAGAAAAAAACTCGAAGCTGTCAACAGCTCCAAATTGATCAAAGTCCTTTGGACTCGTTAATTGATCTTGCAGAAATCAGCAGTCTACAGAAGTGAGTGAAATGGGGTACTTGCTAGGTTGCCTTTGTTGCACATCGAACGCACATCGAACGCAGAAGCCATCACAAGATGGCGGTTACGGTCATTCAACTTCCTTGACGAAAAGACTCAACGCCTTCCTGTTAGTAAATCGAAACGAACAATCTAAGATCTTCAGTAATGAGCTAAGGGTATTGAAACCTCTTCTGCGTCTCTACCCACGCTTTTTTCTGCGAGGAATTGAGCGAGGAGTACTTGTCATTTCTACAGCCTCGAGAGAAAAGGACTTCCAAGCAGCAAAATTTTGAAATCGTCGCTGTTATTACACTCTTGTTAGAAGAAAACCAACCCCTTCTCAAAAAAAACAGCCAGCACGAGTTTTGGAAATCTATTTTTGGAGAGACATTTTATGCCAATCAGCAAAATGAAAGACGCAAGGTGCCGCTAAAACTGACCTTGCATCAAAATAATGACGCTTCCGGTCAGTGTTGAATGCACTTGGTTCATTCCCCGTAAGAGGAATGTTGCATGCAACAAACATCAAAATGAAAGGAATAGAAAATTTGAAACTAATAACCGCAAAAAAACGGATTTCAGTCAATAAGGAACATTAAATGTTCGATTTATTTTAGTACTCTAAGCGAGAAACCAATTCAGTTTATTTATAATTAACATGAACTACCTCCCCCCAGAAGGTGTACTTTTTGTTTTAGCCATATCCATTCAGTATTAATACCGATACATTAGTATGAAGTCCTTAAAATTTAAGAACTTGTGATCTATCAGGTTTGAATGAGTTCCTTTAAATTAAAATTGAAATTTTGATTTTCGTCACTGAAATGCGCCCCAGCATTAATTTATTGCAAAATTTAGGACGACACTTGTCATAAACACTTTTGCGATCATTTTTTAAAGATATTTCATACATTATTCCTACTCTAGATCAATTGAATTGACCCTGTTAAAAAATTCGATTTTCCTTTTACGAAGAGACTGTAAAGCATAAATATGGAATTTTGTAAAATGGAGACTTTTGGACAGATGCGAAGTCTAATGTGAACAAACTTAAACTTACATTATGAAAAAATTTGGTTATTTTTACGAGCTTTCGGAGAAAACGAAGGTTTCAGCTACAGCTCATCTAGATTTCAATTTGGTTTCAGCCACTATGACCTTTGCTTTAGAATAGTCATTACACAATATAACACAGGACCTAGCTCAAATAACATCAAATCTCATCGTATTAATATTTCAAGGAAAAAATCCGTTTAAGTGACTCCACCTGATTTCATTCGTTATACATTTTGGAGTTCATTTTAAGCTCTGAATACAATGTTCATTGACAGATTACAGTTATGAGAAAAATAATCTAAATATTTTCAAATTTTTTGAGATGTCAGAAAAAACTTTCTGTAAAAACTTGAGGTTTTTGCATCAAAAATTCAACCTTCCTACCATTTCTTGCCATCATACTAAGACATTGCATCTTTAAACATAACAGATTCAATATCAAATCTTAATACAAGAAAACTTTTAATACCTGCAAAAAATCTGCCAACTTTTTCCATTTTTGCCAATATCAATACAAATTTATACCCTAACTTGAAAAACGGGGAAAATGAGCGCCAATTTTTATTTTCGATACTAATTATCTTTCCATTTAAAACTCTGAAACCTATAACCTGTCTTTAAACATTGGAAAATCTTTTCCCTATCTTGTTTTGCGGAGTTTCGATAACCAACCCTATTATACAGGGAATTCCATATTTTTTTTAATACATGGCAAAATCGAGCGCCACATTTTTTTTGAAATTTAGCCGCCACACTCTTTTTGAAACTAACGATCTTACCATTAGAAACACTGAAACCTATAACCTATCTCAATACATTGGTAAATTTTTTCCCTATCTTAGTACATAAGTGGGTGACCGGATGCTCTAATCCTTATTTTAGAACATGGGGGTCGCACCCCCAAAAGCTCTCCACCAGTATATACTAAACATTGCTCTTCCCAAATGTCATATGTTGTGTTGGTGAGCAACGATTGTTCATTGCAGTGTTCTAGAAACTTCTGAATGTTTTGTTTTCTACCAATTGTTCATTTAGAGGCCAATCGAAATTATTTTGGCTTCATAGTTTGTTCCAATTAATATATTGGGATCTCTAGTTTGTTCCTTTCCTATTTGAAAGGATTTGGGAGAAATGACAGTGTGTAGAACCTTCGGAGAGATTCTTGGGAAATTATTATCAATTGTTTGTAAAAGACAAAAAAAAACATAATTTCTGATTGGCTAAAAAAGGATTTAGCAAAAATCTCAAATTAAAAAAAATTCGTTTGAATTTTTTTTTCATTACGAGTCCAAACTGTGCACTGGATAAGCGCACAATTGTGTGTCTGTATGTTCCTGGATTCCAGACCAAAACTGTAAAACATGCTAAGTTTTGTTGGAACGATCAAGGAAAATGAAAGAACAAAAAAGAACAAAGGGAGCATCCTTGTTGCGGAATCTGTTTACAATTCACAAAACACACAACTTGGCCTCGTAAGGTTGCATTTAATTTTTCGTGTTTTTACAGTTCCATACACCTTAAAAGGCAGTCGAAACACTCAGGGCCTTGCCTTGATACGAGCAGTCTTGTTGTATTAGTAGGTGTCAAAAGGTTGGTCAGCCGTTTTTTGGTTCTATGGTTTCAATTTCTGTGTCAAGAATCGTTGTTACAATTCTTCAAATTTCCAAAGAATTGGGTCTAGTAGTATTACTTTTACTGTACACCCGGTTTGACCTCAAAAATTTAATGTATTTTATAGTTGTTTTGGTATCAAAATTGGTTTCTCCACATAAAAATTTCTTGCAGTTATTTATTACAAAACGCGACTTGTTCAAGAATATGCAAACATGTTTAAGTCTCCGAAAAAACTTCGGAGTATCACATTTTAGCTTTTACATTATACAAAAAGTCTGCGTGAAAAATAATAATCAGTGTTATCAAGCTATTTAAGTTTTCATAGGCTATTATGCCAACGCAGATCTGAAAATCATATTATATAGTCCCAGTCGTTGGTTTCAATTCATCTCGCAAAAACAACGCAAGATTTTACGCAAGACAATCGCAAAAAGCCATTAAACTAACAAATAACTTTGTTCTTCACTGGAGGTGTCTATAACGTCCTATTTTCAACCACAGCAAAATGAGCGTTGAGGTATGTTTTCATTAGGGGTTGATTTTCTCCCTTCTAAAAAATAACAAACGTTTTCCTGAAAAGCTAAAAGATTTTCATACACCTTTAAAAAACGAAGACCTGAACTAACCGAAGAGAAGCATTAGTATGAGCAATTTTGTTGTATATTGATCAGATTTCAACCACCCGATAATGCTGGTTATACTTAAACTGTGACTAACATCAAACTGGTCATGATCGCCCCTGAAAAGTTTGACACATCCTTCCCCTACCCCATCTCGCTTGGCCACAGATTGGAGGAGGACGATTACCTTGATAATGAAAAACCGCTTTAATCAATTCAACTAAGAGTTGAAACGTAATATACATATCGTCAATTAGATTTCTGTTATTTTGCGATACTAATGATATTTGTAAGGTCGTGTTTGTTGCGGTTAATTTTTGTTGATTGAGTTTCTCTTTTCTACGTTACCCACACATTTAATCTTCGACCTCGACAAGAAAAATTTTATATATTTTTTAGTTTTTAGGTTTAAAAGAACTTTTTTGTTTTGCTAGCCTGATGGGATATGTTGCTCGAAGCAATCTACACGCCAGAGCTATTTGAGTAGTAAGAACGACGAAGAAACAGCAGATGTGAATACCGAGCCACAACTGAAAAGGTTACCATCCATTATGATCAGATTACAGAACGCAAAACCATTAATTAAAATTTTGAAATATTTTCGAAAAATGCATAATTCAAAAAGGTCAACCGGTTACTGCGCTAGAAGCACATAATGTTCCCACCGGCACAGACTTGAAAAAAAATTTAATGAAGTTTCGTTTTTTTCTGCATGTTGTGAAAAGAAGGTCTGAACGGGGATAAAAGAACTCAGGCCTATTTGACAGTCTTTGTAAATAGGCCAATTGGAAAAGACTTTTAGAAAAAAATTGACTTGTGAAAAAAATGTTAAAAAATTAAAAAAAAACGTTAATAAACTCTTAATTTTCGGTTTGCAAAATTGCGCTATAAAACACCAAAAATTATCTTTATTTGAGTAACACTAAATTTTCACGGAATAAATTAGGCATAAATAGGCTATTCAAATCTACACGCTAGCACTAAAATGGCTCAAAAATAGACGAAAAATCGAAAATTTCCAGCCGTTTTTTCTCAATAATCTGAGTTAAATCTTTAAACTTTTTTGGAAATGTTTGCACTCAGGACTGAGAGGAATTCAAATAATTTTTTTTCACTCGACCCATTGCGCTGATTATTTGTGATACCTGGTTTTGCATGGAAAAAGAAAAAAGACGAAAAACACTGAAACACACCTGAATACAAGTGTCCTCCACAATTCCAATGGTCGGAACAGTAAGACTGGCTCAATTGTCGATGGTAAAATCAGGCGGCAACGTTTCATGCCTACAAACCAAAAAAAAGTTCAAATTTCTCAATTAAGTAGTAAATTTGTTCCAGTTCTTGCAAAATTAGTTCAAAAGCTCGGACTGTTATTGTGATAAATCATTCGGTCGGTTAGAAACATTTTTCTAAAATAGTTAGTGGAAGAGATAATAATTCAATTTCCGTATTTTTTTGTTTTGTGAGTGACATTGAACAATTTGTTTTCCAGTTCAATTGACCCTAATTTTGAAAAATGACTAATTGTATGAAGGTAAAGCTATGAAGTTTCAACTTCCCGCTTCGGTTGAAAGTTTGATCAAAATTTTTAAGATTTTTTCAGAATGCTCAGAAATTGAGAAATTTTGATTTTTTTCTTTTATCGCAGTCGCTATACTATGTACAAATGAAATTTATTTGATTCATGATAGGTCATTACAAGATCAAACCAAGTTTTTTTTGTGAGTAGTAAGCGGATGGAAATATAACTGTCAGTTAGACTATACGCTGTTTTTCTTTGTATTTTGCTGTCTTTTCGCTTGGTCGCCTAAATGAAAAAAAAAATTGACGACCAGCTTTAACAAAAATAAGATTGCAAACGAATCAAATAAGCTTGTAAACTAAATTTTTACCAAAATAAAACTAACAGTAAGAGAAAACCAATTTGACATTTAAACTATTAAATTTGAAATTTTTAAACATAAATTTAATGGAAAACTGATTACATTCCTTACGAGACGAAATTGTGCATTGGATAGGCATATGCATTGGATTCCAGTGACAATTGTTTGTTCAAAAATGGATTCCATATACACCAACCTGTAATGCAATTTTTGCCGCACATTTGTTTTGTCGCGGTTTCAGCGACAAGCGAATATAGCTAATTGTTCTGGATTCCGCAACTGTGACTGGGTTCCGCAAACGTAAGTGGAATCTGCAAAACTTGTGAGCGGACTCCACAACTGTTAGCAAAATGTATGTGGGTTGCGCAATTTCGTTTATTACTGAACTAAATCAGTTCTTGCATATAAAAATTTAAAAACTAGAGATGTAATTATTATCTAGCAAGGCGGAAATTAAAAGCAAGAAAGTATTTTTTGTGGGCGGCATCACTAACAAATCCTAAAACATTTTTGTATTAAATCGTTGGATGTCACACTTTATTATTTGGACATTTTCCCAAGAAGATATTTCTCTGCAAGCTAATTACAAGCGAGATGGATGGAGTGAGAGGTCATGTGGTGGGACAGGTATTGTGAGATATTTTTTTGGAGAGAAGGGACGGCTCGATTGCTTTTTTATAAGGACTGGACATTTATTTAACTGGATTGAAATATTCTTTCTATTCTTTTTCTCAAAACTGAAAGAGAAACGTGAAATAAAAAAACGTAGATAAAAATTTCTAAATTTGGTGGGGAACTTTTTAAAATTGGTTTGAATTGAAATAAACTCATCATGTTTAATTCACTTTAGTATGTTTAGTCGACAGGAATTGAAATCGAAGTTAGGTGTGAGTTGGCAGAAATTGAGATCGAAGTTAGCGGTAAGTTCAAGGCAGGAGTTCAGATCGACGCTGGAGGACTTGAGATCGAATAATTGATAATTCAACTTGTAGCTCAACTGTTGGCAGTAATTGAGATTAAACTGGCTGGTGATTACCCGAAAAAAAGTAATTAAAAAACTACTTTGTAAGTAACTGGAATCCGCAAACAAAATGCATTACAATTTGCGGACTCCGCATACAGTTTTGGGATTCCGCTTGGAGTTGCGGATAAAAGCGCAATAGTACTATTATTATACGATTTTATGGTTTGTGGATTCCACAAACTTTTCCGGATTCCGGAAATACTGTTGCGAATTCCACAAAATGGCCTAATTTTTAAAAGTTTTTGTGCAGTACATTGTTTTCGATGTTTTTTGTGAAATCGAAAATAGCAAAGAAGATAGTAGAAAAGTAGCAATGTTGCGAATTCCGCGACAAGTGTGATTTTTGCGTGTTGGAGAATCCGCTTTTGTTTCAGAAAATGCACAGTTTGGCCTCTTATCGCGGTCTAGAAAACAGTTTTTAGTGTAATTTGGTTGCACAGTTGATATTGGCTGGGTGCTGCTCAAAACATATCTCCAATATAATTCGATAGCAATCAGCGTAAGCAATTTTGATGGGACAAAGTTCCAAACCTATTCATAAATCTTCATTTGTAGACGAAAACTAGAAAATTTGATTGTTAATCAATTATCGTCATTTTGGTCAAGCGCATAGAGCGCGTTCAGAAAATAATTTTGAACACTGAAAACCTGTCAACGAATATCAGTGAAGATCGTTCAATGAACGTTCAAACAAAACTAATTTTTTTTTTTGCAAATTTTCGAAATTCAAATTTTCAAGTCAGCATTTCATCCAGCGTACAATATTTTTACTTTTTTTTTCAGACCAGAAATTCAATACATTTTCATTTTACACCTTCATATGCTTGAACGTGGTTATCACCCGTCCAAAATTCGCTGACTCTTTATGTTTTTTAAGGCGCCAGTGGCGTGCGCAGAAACTTTTCTAGGGGTGGGGGTTCGAAAAGTTTCTCCGGCATTTTATTTTTTTTGGCTGACCAAATTGATTTTCCGAGCTCTCAAAGTTTTTTTCTAAAAACAGGCCAAAAAAGCATTTTTAGGCACTTTTTGGAAAATTGTGACGAAAAATTGCGCGTTTTCTTGGAAAATTTGAGCGTTGTCTATGAGTCATTTTGGAAAAACTTAGAAAAATTTCGAGTTTGTAGAGCGAAAACTGGATGCCATAAACTTATACCGATGGAGAAGCCCTTTTGAAAAAATTGGCAACCAGAATTGAGGGAGGGGGAACGGGTTGACAAAGCATTAAAAAACATGTTTTTTAATTTATATCAATAAGTTAAACATAAAAGAATGCACCAATGATGCTAAGTTTTTTCATCTGTACCGGATGACACTCCCTTTTGACAGGAATTTGAACGAACAGTTCAGTTTTTGAATTTATAGTCCCTTGGGGACTCGCGCCTCCATATTTCTTTCCTTTAAGTTAACATGTTATTTTTCTTTCTCTTTTGTTTCTTCATTGTTGTTGTTGTCGTCTTCCTTTTTTTCGTGCTCCTACTGTGTTGTTTCATTTGCTATGTTTTCGCTGCTTTTCCCCGTTTCTTCGTTTTAAGAAATAGAATTTCCATTTTGTCAGGACTTCCGTCTTGTGAGGTAAGGTCTTTGACCTCCTCCTTTTTCTTGTCCTTACTTTTAGGGCTAATCGCATCAAGGAATTTTAGGCAGGCCTGGTATTTGGGTGTCTTGTCAGAGAAACCCATTTCCTGAACTGAAGATTTTAGGCTCGGTATCGACGGTGATGTTTGTTATTCTGGCGGCGAATCGATGATTAATCTCACTGGTTGTTTATCGCTTTTAGCTTCTTCGATCGTGTTGATCGTAAAAAGGTCACCAATGCTTTCGCCAATGTCGATTGACGCTGACGAACTGACCGTCTTGTTGGTATAGTATATGCTGATGTCGATGTTGTCGCTGGCGGAGTTTTCTTTTGAATCAATCTTTTTGGTGATGGCTCGGATATCCCTGGTGTTGTCGATGAGTTTTCGCTCTCCGTCTCGCGGACACGATTGTGTCCTTTGTCGTGGCTTTTATTGGGGCTTGATTTTTCCATCGTGTAAAAACTCATTCCTCGAGATTTGTTGCATTGGCGTCCGCCCGGTCTTCGTCCAGTTGGTATAATCGGTCGTTTGGTTGGGCTATTTTGTCCATCGTTTTGTTCTTGATTGACTGCCGCCTGTTCTTTTCTGGTCATTTTCTTTGTCAGTCCCGTTTCCATTTACTCCTTGAATATTTTGTGTTGAGGCTCATTTGGGTCTTCTATGTCTAAAAAACGTAGATACGGTCCTGAAATCCTTGCAGGTTTCTACGCGACATCATCACTCAACCGTAAAAGTCGGCACGTTCCGTAGTTTAACGGATTAAGAACAAAAGCAACTCCACTTTTTCTCAATAATCTAGGTTGTTTCCCGAACGATTGCACCCATGCTGTATGTGGTGGGTAAGTTAAAATTTTCCCGTCAATAGTTTTGTATTTTCGTTTGAAAGTTTTAGGGTCTTTCATTTTAGTTGCCACTCGGATTGTTTTTCTTACCACTTGATTTAATCGATTTCTAATGGTTTTGTCCAATGGTGTTTGTATCCCTTTATACCTAGTAGTCAGCTTATCGTTAGTTTTTTCTATTAGATTGTGCACCTCATGTTAGTTCTGCTGTT